CTTGGATAAAATTGAGGAGACACCTGAGCAGGCAGGCTCGGAAAATGAGACCTACTATTAGGAGCAGGAGGGGCCCTGCCACAGCAGATAGGAGGGTTGTGAACCACGGGGACCAGGAGAACAAATTCTCATACCAGTTCCCCTCTGCCCTACGGGCCTCTTCTCTGTCCATCAGCCGTTTCCTTAACTGACTTATACTTTCTCTGATTACCCCGGAGTGGTTAGTGTAGAAGCAGCATGCCTCCCCTAATGCTGGGCACAGTACCCTTGTTTCAGGAAAAGTAGGTCGAGTCCCCTCCTGTTTTGTAAGACTACTTCAGCTAAGGACCCTACTGATTCCTCCAACTGTCCTATGGATTTTTCTAGGGTACTCAGGTCTTGGTCAATTTGATTACCCAGTTCTTTGTAATTTTGATGTCCTGTCACTAGGGCGGCTGTCCCTACCACTGTGGATCCTGCAATTCTGAGTCCTACCAGTAGAGGAACCAGAACTGAGGCTCTCTTAATCCAACGAGTCTCGATGAGGAGGTGCTCCCTTCCTCCTTCTCCTGAGTAATATTACACTTGCGGCAGGATATGAGTTAAGACGCAGAGCCCTGGCTCGGGCCCAGTCTGGAGGTTTAGGGAGAGTATTCAAGGGGTGATTCCGGTGATGCATGCCCACCAGGTACCATTTGGGGCCACCAGGTACCAGCGGGTCCAGGACCCTGGTCTCTCCGGAAGTCGGAGTGTCTGGTTACAATTTTCTGCATAGGGGGAATTGGGGAGGGAGTAATTGGCAGATGTGACACACAGCCCAGCTCCAGTAATATCTCCTAAAGTTAATCCCCTCGTCCCTTTTCTCCATGCACATAGTCCGGGGGTTTGTGCATCCGCGGACACGTTGCGGATGTGGGCGGCACTTGCCCCAAATGGAGTTGAAGCTCTGATCCCTATGTAATAGGGGGGCTCGGGGTTGAGGCACAACCAGCAGTCTGCAGTAAGATCGGGCGCACTTTTGTTCAGAAGTTGGAACGAGGCTTCCAGCGGCGTGAAAATGTCTGGTCTCAGCAGAGCTCCCCGAGGCGGAGGCCAGGTTACTGCATCCCGGTGACTTGCCTCAGTCTTTGATGATGGTGGTGGCGGGCTCATCATACATGGGGCCGGGCTTAATCTCCTGACTTCGGGTCACTGAGGGGCCAAGGGGCCAATTGGGTTGGGCGGCTGGGGTATTTCCCATTGCTGGAGAGTAAATAGTACCTCAGGGTCTGGTCCAGAGACATATAGCCTCAATCCCTATGTCTTTCCCCCGGTCCAGTCTTTAGCTCAATATGCCACTGGTTTGATGACAATGGGGTTGCAGTTTCCAACAGTACAGTTCCTTTCCGGGGCCCCTGGCCACACCTGTCGGGTGAATCATATGTCCCTGTTCGGAAGCTTCAGGGGCCATTTGGCATAGGTTTCACAGCCCCACTGTCCACAATAATAATCCTCCTGGTCTCCATACTTCAGAGGGGGAATCCGGGGCTGGCGCAGGCAGACATATAGGGGAGTATGCCATTGTTGTTGCTCAGTCCCTCGGGTCCCGCAGCCATAGGTGGTTGCAGCCCTGTGTGTAGCCATTCCCTCGGGGATCCCTAGATGCGACCCGGCTGGGCCCAAATTCATGAGCCTGGGTCTGTCCTGGGGCAGGTTCCAATCATCCCCGAAGAGGCTACACAGGTCAAACTGGAGAGTCGGTTCACCGGTGCCCATTTCTCGGGCCAGTACTACCCCGTCCGTGGTGTGGATCACCTCCCAGGCATAATGTGGGGCCTGGTGGGAGAGGGGCTTACCGAACCTCCACATGACAGTGAGCAGCAGTAGATAGATCATGATGCAGGTACTAGTTTCACCTTTAGTGGGTCCTGGGTTAGTTTCCACTCCCCTGTTGGCCCGATCGACCCATAATTGCTCCTCTGCCGGCCCGATCACCCCCAACTGCCCTCCCCTGCCAGCCTGGTCGCCCGCAACTGCCCTCCCCTGCAGGCCTGGTCTCCTCCAGCAGCCCTCCCCTGATGGCCTGATCACCCCCAACTGCCCTCCCCTGCCAGCCTGATCACCCACAACTGCCCTCCCCTGCCGGTATTGTGGCTGTGGGCACTGCCATCTTTGAGGGTGGGCATTCAATTAGCATATTTCCTCCTTATTGGCTGTGGGTGCCGCCATCTTTGTGACAGTGTGAGGGTCAATTAGCATATTCCCTCTTTATTAGATAGCACTAGTAGCCCGGTGCACAGTTATTAAACATTTATCAGCATAACGCTGACATATGTTTAAGTACCAACCTTATCAGCTTAAAAATGTAAGCTTTTAACACTGCTCTCTCTGTTCCGTATCCTTCCGATGAAAAGTGGAGTTGGGTTGCAGCACAGGAGAGAAATTCAGAAGGGGTATGTTGAAGTAATGACTGCAGTAGGAGAAGAGGGAACTTATTTCCCTGGCCACAGGTGCTGGAGGCCTGGACCACAGGGCTGGCAGCTTCTCCGGGTGGCTGCATCCTGGGACCTCGGACGAGTGGCTTGTCCATCTCCTGGGCTGCAGCCAGCCACAGGTGCTGGCGCCTGGACCAAAGGTGGGCGGCTTCTTCTGGCGGCTCCTTCTTCTTCTTCTGTGCTTCCAGGGAGGGCAGTCAGTTATGTGTATATGTGTGTGCATGCAAACATAGGCATGTACACATGTGTATGTGGAAATCTGCTGGGGGAGTCAAAATCATAGAAGAGTTGCCCCCTAGCTCTCGAATCTTCCAGAGATATCCCCCATTTTTTTATTCTATCACTATTGGATACTCAGTATTTGCAGCCAGCAAGCCAGTAACTCTCTTAGTGTGTATTTCTGACTTCTTCTTTCCTGTCTGTCTTCCAACCCCTAATCATATTTCCACCTGGATGCATCATATTTACTCCCAATATTCTGTGTAGAGAAGGAGTCAGGATGCTGTCTTCCCATGAATAGTACTCAGCAACAAACCAATTGCATTTTAGTTGTGCAATGCCCCTACCCACCCTTCAAATCCCGTCACCATGCATTTCTGTTTCCCTTTTTGTTTGTTGGATTTTTCTGCTGCTCCTTCTCCTAACCCTACCACCCTTTGACCATAATGTAAAATTCTTTTACATTGTCAAGAAATTATTAAAAATACAGGTACTTCTCCGATCACAGGCTTGGGGGCAGGGCAGGGAAGAGGCAGCTGCTGCCCCCCCAAGATCTATGTGGCAGCACATAGAGGCCAGGACCCAGTTTCACAGGTTTTACCCAAGCAGTTTGAAAGGTGCTCGCAATCTACGTGCCAGCCAAGACCTGGTCTCATGGAGTTTGCAGTTTGAAAGGTGCTCGTGACCTACCTGGCGGCCAGGACCCGGTCTCAGGGGATTTGCAGTTTGAAGGGTGCTCGCAATCTACCTGGTGGCCAGGACCCGG